TTGGCTATTATATCAGCAGAATCCTTTAACATTCCTTATCGCCACCTAAAGGGATATTTTGGGTGTAATTGCGATAGCATGACTTATGGTAACATGCTTCAGCAGCCACAAGCTTTCTAGAGACAACAGCCAAGATTCTGTGATCATTTTTCCTACAGCAGCCTTCCTGATTTTTTCATCGACGCGCATATCCACACACTGAATCAGTTTCTCCCTCGTGCGAGAATTCCTGGTGCATTTATCTTTTTCGCAAAAGATACAAACCCACTGATAAATTCTACTAGGATTTTGTTATTCAGAATACATCCTTCCAATACTTCAGAAACTATGGGTAGTAGAGATATTGGTCGATAATTCTATACTTGTTGACGATCGCCTTTTTTGAAAACAGGTACTGTGTTGGCCAGTTTCCATTCCATTGGTATGGTGCCAGAGCTGCGTGATTGATTAAATAAAAGGCAAAGTGAACGTGTAATGACGTCAGCAGTTTTGGGTTGTCGGATGGAAGATCTTCGACTGTCGGTGGAGTTACAATTTGCTCTCTCTTTCGCATCCAATTGAGATAACTTGTCGAGGTTTCTCCTCAGCGTAAATATGCCACGGCATTGCCTATGGTAAGTAGCTTTAGGTAGTTCTCGCTCTCCAAGATTTTTGGCGATCTCAAGAATCAGCTCGTAGTTACGAATAGTTGTAGCATTTAAAAGTGTTTTCCAGGATTCGAGGTCCTTTAAGGTTGCCAATTCTCCCGTGTAGTTCCAACAGTGAATCGTCCATTCTTCCTCTCTCCGTTGTCGTTTATCCTGTTCTCTATCATCTATAACTTTTCGTTTGGCTCCTTTGGTTCAAAAGTAGAAATATATAGTACGAAGATATAGTCCGCGATGTAAAGAAAGTCTGCCGAAAGTATTTATCAACTACTTCAGGGGGTTATAAAATAAAATGATTGGTCTGGCTGCCTTACAGTTCTCGACTTTCTGGCTATTGGCGAGCTCGAATGGCTAACTATTTCATTATCTCCTTTTTGAAATGTAAAAACCACTTAAGAAACAAGAAAAATCGAGCACGCTATCCTTCATTAGCCCACACTGGGTGCCATAGGCTCCATTATTTAAAGTCCGGAGGGATAGTTTAAAAATTCTCTGACTAGTGAGAGTAAGTTTATTTAATAATCAACCTCTATCCACCTCTTGAATGATTGTAAGTTTTGGAGATATGTTGACCTTTCATTGCCAAACCTAAAAGCAGCCTTAAGATATTAATAGTCATTTATCAATGTGCAATAATACTTGTTCCTCCTAGTTTCGATTTCTTTGTTAAAAAAGATAATAAAATAGCGAGAAACAAACACTCCATTAAAGAGGTTCTCTTGATCTTTCCTCCAACGGCGGACCATAGACTTAGTGATGACGTACTCTCTGGTTATCTCGTAGTTGTTTTCGACGGCAATACTGCACTGAAACACTTTTCTGTTTCGAAACTTCTGCGTTGATTTCAGTTCTTTCGAGAGTGGAATTCTCTGAATATGGTCTCGGCTTATAGNGGATTTGTTTTACGGTAGCCCCGAGTTTCAAATCCTCAACCATGCTTGTAATATAGCCAACTGATTTGCCTTCGGCCAGTTCGGGTTTCTTAACACTGTTATTTTCTATTTGAATTATCTGTTTAGGTTGTTTCGTTGAAAACCTGTAAACTAGCTTCTAGATAAGTGTTTCTCCACTTTAAAACTGTTAATTTTTTTTCATTTTATTTTATCTAAGCGATGGAATAGGATATTAATTGTTATAAGGCATGAAGTTCGTTGTGATAAAGCGATTTTTATTCGCATGGCACAATCCTTTGTTATCTCGGGTGAAAGCAATGCATTCATCTTCTATCAATTATCTTCCTGCTCATTTTTGTAGAATACAACAACAATATCGAGAACGTTAACGATAACTATAATAGGCCTATTTTGGGACCTTAAATCGCCTAAAGTCGCCTTAAATCGACTTAACTTGTCTTAAGTCGCTACTGGTTACGCAGTGTTATAAGCGCTCCATTCTTCTTAATTAACCCCATTCACCCCACTCTAATCGTGACTATTGAATTTATTGCAGTGGGGGGTGTGGAAATATTTTTAAAGTTTATGGAAAGACTTCTACTAACTTTGCTTTTATCACTTCAGTTAAATAAAATTGCATTAAGTCGCCTTAAATCGCACAAAGTCGCCCAAAGTTACGACAACTAAAAAATTAGCAAGGGAAGTTGCTTTATCTTGAATTCAGTTTCGATGGACATAGTTACAAGTACACGGCGCTTTTAATCTCTTTTGAGAACACTTTGAAGGCACTCTGCGAAATATAGTTGCCCCATAGAAATCTGGGAATTAAAAGTGCTAAATAAGCTACATCAAACTACACGTAGTTAAGTAATTTATTATGAAATAAACACTGACAGTAACGTCTATGTTCTGATTGCTCGTCCTTCTTCTACTCTTAGCCCATGGATGCATGTTGCTGTCGCCTGAGCTCATGTTTACAAAATATGGTATCGCCATTATTTTTGTCCCTTCCATGATTAAGAAAGATTTCTGTATTCCGTGAAATATACCACAGTCTAGCTCATCTTCTATACATAAGGAGAGAGGAGGGGGAGGGGAGAGGGACGCTATATTAATGATGTACCCAAAATTACTGTTCGGAAGCCTTATGAAACCACAATTTCTCATGGCGTACCCTGAATAGATTTGTCACATTTCTTATTTTCTTCAATTCCTTTCCTAGTTTATAATGTTCTGGCTGATATTGTTCATAGTATCTGTCGCAAATTAAAATCGCTATACGCACATTCTTGTTAGATTCTTCAAATTCTGGAGTGCGCTCGGAGGAATATGCTCCAAAAGGTTCCCTCCAAGGTCTCTGACGAGAAAGCAATGCACTATTACGTCCATGAGTTAAAAAATCATGCAACGTTACGTCTATTAGTCAAAACAGAATTAGGAGTAAAACTTTATTCAGAACATGGCTCTAGCAGAATTCATGGTCTGAGGTAGCGAAGAAATCAGGGATAGATGGAATTCTACGACAAGGGACATTTTTTGGATGCTTCACAAATTCAAATGCCTTTCCATCCCGAGGCTAAAAACATGTTTAATTCTATAGCGTATTTCCTTAAAGCGGCTCGCCGAAAACAATATTCTACTGTTCACCATTGATGTGTACAAATCTTCTTGAGGGCTTCTCTCATCCTTAGGATCCTCCTAAAGGTTTCCCCATATCCATTGGCTCATGGCGCCTTACAAAGGCGAATCCAGTGAGTAGTTTGACATTCTTGAGTGAGATTTTTTCAGATGCTTATACATAATTTTTCAATTACCTGTTTCCGATTATGTTTTTTACTACGATGAAAACCTCAGCTCAAGCTATCAATTCAGTCCAGTTTTCGAGCGTAAAATCAGGCTAGTCATCGAAACATTACAACTTAAACTCCTCCCCTTCAGCCATCCAACCAAATGATTACTATCATACATTACTGTGTGATGTGTGATCGAAAATATTCTATCCCGCAGAATCTAAAGATCCTTATTCCCTTCTCTCGTTATAATTACCCTTGAATACATGTTATCTACTTACAAGTACGTTAGTTTCGTCAAATTCTGGAACGCGTTCACTGGTATAGATTTCAACATGTTCCATGACAAATCTCTGTGGAGAAAAAATTTGTTTCAGGGAATGGGGGCTCAATTAAACGAACGGAAGGAGGCGCGAAGGCTGTCGCGATCTCTGTTCCTTGTTGATATCGATTGGAAAATCGAGGCTCGATTGGAAAATCGAGGCACGATTGCAAAATCGAGGCTCGATTGCAAAATCGAGGCACGATTGAAAAATCGAGGCTCGATTGGAAAAACGAGGCTCGTATGTCGAAGCTTGGCAAAACGAGGAATCGTGGTCGTTTTTGATCAGGTGCTTTTGGGCTCGTTTCCCGGAAACCGTGAATGATCCCATCATAAAACTGGACTAAAATGTACAATCAAGCTCGCTGTTTTTAGGATTAAAATTGGAACCACTTTTGATAAATCAAGGCTAGTTTCGATCGAAAATCACTCTAGATTAATGGCAATCTATAGATTGGTATTCCCTTCTATAGGCATAAATACCGTTTGTTATGAGTTGTCTACTTACATTTGGGTTAAACTGGTCAGATTCTGAGATGCTTTCTCAGGAATAAGCTCCAACTTGTTATATGGCAAGTATCTCAGGAGAAAACATTTTAACTGTGCCCTCTCAGCTATGCAAATGGTTGCCTCTTTTGTTACTGTGTGATATGTGATACAAAAATATTCTATGCCTCATACAATTGGACAAAAATGTACAATCAAGCTCGCTGTTTTTAGCATTAAAATTGAAACCACTTTTAATAAATCAAGGCTGGTTTCATCGAAAATCACTCTACTTTAATGGAAATCTATAGATTCGTATTTCCTTCTATAAGCATAAATACCCTTTGTAATAAGTTGTCCACTTACAATTGGGTTAAACTTGTCAGATTCTGGAACGTTTTCTCAGGAATAAGCTTCAACTTGTTTTTTGACAAGTCTCTAAGGAGAAAAAACTTTAACCTCGCCCTCTCAGCTATGCAAATGGTTGCCTCTTATGTTACTGTGTGATATGTGATACAAAAATATTCTATGCCTCATACAATTTGGTAAAAGTGTACAATCAAGCTCGCTGTTTAAATCGAAAATCACTCTAAACTAATGGAAGTCTATAGATTCGTATTTGCGTCAATAGGCATAAATATCCTTTGTTATATGTTGTCTACTTACAAGGAGGTTAAACTTGTCAGATTCTGGAACGCTTTCTCAGGAATAAGCTCCAACTTGTTACGTGGCAAGTATCTAAGGAGAACAAAATTTAACTCCACTCTATCAGCTATGTACGTGGTTGCTTCTTATGTTGATATCTGATATGTGATGGAAAAATTTTCTATGCCTCATACAATTATGCCCTCTCAGCTATGCAAATGGTTGCCTCTTATGTTACTATGTGATATGTGATACAAAAATATTATATGCCTTATACAATTGGACAAAAGCGTACAATCAAGCTCGCTGTTTTAGGATTTCAGATTTAAACCACTTATGATAAGTGAAGGGTAGATCGAAAATCACTGTTTCGACGAGACGAAATTGTGTTTTAAACGAAAAAAAAGCGAATCCACAACAAAAGAAAAACCGGTAGGTCCAACCTCTGCGAGGGCTTAACAAAAAAATAAAGAAAGGACCCTATTTCTATCACGACCTATTGAATATATTTAGTAAAATTAAAATAAAAGCATGCGGCATTGTTCGGACTTCCCAACGGACAGCGCTCCGCTAATCAACAGGCGTTCGTCGGAAAAATTACTCTAAATTAATGGCAATCTATACATTCGTATTTCCTTCTATAGGCATAAATACCCTTTGTTTTATGTTGTCTACTTACAAGTAGGTTAAACTTGTCAGATTCTGGAACGCTTTCTCAGGAATAAGCTTCAATCTGTTCCATGACAAGACTCTAAGAAGAAAAAATGTTAACTCCACTCTATCAGTTATGTACATGGTTCTTATGTTAATAGGTGATATGTGATAGAAAAATATTTTATGCCTCATACAATTATGCCCTCTCAGCTATGCAAATGGTTGCTTCTTATACTACTATGTGATATGTGATACAAAAATATTCTATGCCTTATACAATTGGACAAAAGCGTATAATCAAGCTCGCTGTTTTTAGGATTTCAAATTTAAACCACTTATGATAAATCAAGGCTAGTTTCGATGGAAAGTCACTCTAAATTAATGGAAATATATAGATTCGTATTTCCTTCTATAGGCATAAATACCCTTTGTTATATGTTGTGATTTGCACTTAGTGATTAATAGTTTTGGCGCCAGAGCGTTGTCCCAGGGATACTGGGGACCAACCCCCCCCCCCCACTTTTATTTAAAGACGCGACGAAAATAATGTTGAAAATAACGGTCGGCCAGAGATAACGTAAAGATCTATAAGGTGTATGGAATGCCCTACGAATTGTAAGTTACATTTCATTGAACTCTCAAATGTTATTCCATATTTAAAAATATCTGTATTTGTTTTTTAGTTTAACTTGCTTCCTCTGGCAACCAGTACGAAAATAAACGGGCCACCATACATCTGTAACCTTCAAAGCTACAGTAACGCTTCAAAACGAAAGCGCGAATTGTGTTGTCTACTTACAAGTAGGTTAAACTGGTCAGATTCTGGAACGCTTTCTCAGGAATAATCTCCAATTTGTTATATGGCAAGTATCTAAGGAGTAAAAATTTTAACCTCGCCCTCTCAGCTATGCAAATGATTTTTTTTTTTTTTTTATGTTAGTGTGTGATATGTGATACAAATGATATTCTATGCCTAATACAATTAGACAGCAGTGTACAACCAAGCTCGCTGTTTTTGGGATCAAAATTGCAACCACGCTTGATAAATCAAGACTGGTGTCGATCTAAAACCACTTCAAATGAATGGAAATCTATAGATTTGTATTCCCTTCAATAGGCGTACATACCTTTTGTTATATGTTGTCCACTTACAAGTGGGTTAAACTCGTTAGATTCTGGAAGGCTTTCTAGGGAATATGCTTTAACATGTTCCCTGACAAGCCTCGAAGGCAAAAAAAATTTAATACTACACTCTCAGCTATGCAAATGATTGGGTCAATTTTATCTCTGACGAGTGCTCCTAAAATATTTTATGCCACAGAAAATTGGACAACAATCAAGCTCGCTGTTTTTCGGATTTAGAGTTAAAACAGCTATTAACAATTCAAGGCTGGTTTTAATTGTAAAACACTTTAAATTAATGGAAATCAGGGGATTCGTAGTTCCTTCTATTAGCATAAATACTATTTGTTATATGTTGTCTACTTACAAGTAGGTTAGACTCGTCAGATTCCGGAATGCTTTCTCAGGAATAAGCTTCAACATGTTATATGACAATTCTCTAAAGAGAACAAAGGTTGACTCCGCTCTATCAGCTATGTACATGGTTGCTTCTTCTGTTAATGCGTGATATGCGATAGAAAAATATTCAATGCCTCATACAATTGGACAAAAATGTACAATCAAGCTCGCTGTTTTTAGGATTTCAAATTTAAACCACTTATGATAAATCAAGGCTAGTTTCGATCGAAAATCACTCTAAATTAATGGAAATCTATAGATTCGTATTTCCTTGGATAGGCATAAACACCCTTTCTTATAAGAAGTCTACTTACAATTGGGTTAAACTGGTCAGATTCTGGAACGCTTTCTCAGGAATAAGCTTCAATCTGTTCCATGACAAGTCTCTAAGGAGAACAAAGGTTAACTTTGCTCTATCAGCTATGTACATGGTTGCTTCTTATGTTAGTGTGGGATATGTGATACAAATGATACTCTATGCCTAACACAATTGGACAGCAATGTACAACCAAGCTCGCTGTTTTTGGGATTAAAATTGAAACCACGTTTGATAAATTAAGACTGTTTTCCATCTAAAACTACTTCAAATTGGAAATCTATAGATTTGTATACCCTTCAATAGGCGTAAATAACGTTTGTTATATGTTGTCTACTTACGAATGGGTTAAACTGGTCAGATTCTGGAACGCATTCTCAGGAATAAGCTTCAACATGTTCCATGACAAGTCTCTAAGGAGAACAAATGTTAACTCCGCTCTATCAGCTATGTACATGGTTCCTTCTTATGTTAATGTGTGATATGTGATAGAAAAATATTCTATGTCTCATCAAGAGCCATAATTGGGACAGAGAGCAAATCTGAGGGTGTGGGCGGGATATATGAATTTCACTAAAGTTATTTTTAGAGTTACAATTGAACAGATGTCTAATTCTTGGGACGTCCGCACATCTTAATTAAAGCGGGCCAGCCATTGTATTTATAATATGCATTGTAATGGCGACTGTAGAATATTCAAAATGACCTTGTGTTCGACCGCCATTTACAGGCGTCTGGATTTCGGCATAAATATACCGGATGAGTCTATTGAAGGGCCTGGTGAGTGCGTTCCACAAGAAGAAGTTGCAGAAAGCGGTCCTACTCGTAAGCCCAAGATAATCGAGGTTTCGTCTTCCGAAGAAGACTCCAATTCTGTTTCCTTCGGTGGGAAAGCCGTGAGAAGAAGTCCGCGTCTCATGGTTAAAGCTTTAAAAGGTCTTCTTGAAACGAAACAGAAGAAAGCGGTTATCCTTGACATGTGGCAGATGGAGAAGGAATTCTTTTCCAAGGAACAGGCCAAGAATGGTGAGGTAAGAAGTTGTAAGTTTCCTTTTTTTCAAAAACACAAAGTAAACATCATTTCATTAACATATTTCACCAGTTACAGTATGATACTCAAAGAGTCGTATTTCTTTCATACTATTTTAAAAACAAAGTGTGGTATTAAAGCAGGTAGTGTGTAAGACAAATAAACGCACATGTACAAATGTATAATCCGTGAAAAATACTTTTTGATACCAGTTGATTAACAAGTAAGGTGTTACTCATTATGCCACCCTTTTAAATTGAAATCATTGGTCGGAACCTTAAAAAACGCTCATCACAGCTCGCTGCGTTTCCTTTTGCCTTAACTATAGATATATGGACTATGCACGATGAATGAAGGTTGGCAATAAATAAATGTATCTGTCTT